GGAGGAGGAGGAAGTGTTGGAAGAATGCGGATGGATGAGGAAGAAATCCAGGAAAATGAAAGAAATAAAGAAAACCTAGTTCCTGAGCAACGAAGAAGAAGACAGACCTCGGAAAATTCTGAAGAGGACGGGGAGAGTAGAAGAGTGGGATTTGGACGACGCGAGAGAAATACAGGACGGCGGAGTAAATATGATGATGACTATGATGATGATGGTGAAGGTGATGAGGACAGGGGAGGCAGAGGTAGGAGGTCAGATCCGCGAAGAAAATGGGGCGATGAACAGGAAGAGATTAACGAGAGACCTCAAAGGCGAAATGAGAGAAATCGTGGACGAAGGAGAGATGGTGAGGAACAGGGATACTATGAGAATACAAGAAGACGTGATCGCGGTAACAGAGGTGAGAGAAATGAAGACAACAGGAGACGGGATTTGGATCGAAGGCCCGATCGTGAGCAAGAGGCAAGGATGAAAAACAGAGATCAGAGACCACCTAGAGGAAGATATGATGAAGAAAGGAGAGAAAATCGAGAGGAACAGGGTGGAAGCCGGAGAGGATTTGGTGACAGGAACAGAGGAACAAGGGTAGACACGAAGCAAAACGAGTATGACAGAGAGGGCCACAAACGACAAACTGGAGGGTTTGGGAGTTCACAGAAAGACAGGTAAGGTGTACATCTGTGTGATAATTAGCTTCTGCAGTTGCTGTACTTAGATACAACATTTTGTTTACACCACACTTGTAGTAGGGTTTTGCTTTCGCGGAAAGCCCGTGATTGATATGAGAAAAAGGCAGAAAATCGAGATGAGTGAATTTTGATCGTTGAACAAAAGGAAAGCAATGATTTACAGAAAATGTTTGGAAAACGTTCTTGAACAGTATACTGAGCCAGGAGGGAGCGTGAAAGAACGCGAGCGTAAAAAAATAAGTTGAAATCGTGACCATGTTTGCTTTTTATACCTGGAGGTAGTTCCCAGAATTTACTGTTTTTCGCTTGACCTCGTCCAGAAGTAAGAACGATGCAAGGGAGACGAGATCCAAAAAAAATGGTAGAGATGAAATTCAAAGCGATGAGGAAGAGAGACATCCATGGGAGGGGCAAGCTAAGCCGTCACCTGCAACCCACAGCTACAGTAAACTTCGAGGTAGGGGACGAGGCAGAGGACAGACGCAGGAGCTGAAGAAACCTCGAAAGAATGCTGCAGATTTCACTCGTGAAAGAGAGGAGGCCCAAAAGAAAGAAGAACAGGAGAGGAAGAAAAAGGCTGTTGAGGATGAACACTTCGAAGGTGAGCAAGAGTTTGCTTCAAGTTAAGATTTTGTAAAGTCAGACATTTAAATCAAGTAAGGCCAGGTATGCTACGATAATTTACTTTTCCGAGCTTTCGCCGATGTACGGCATCATCAGGGAATTATCGTAGCATTCCTGGCCTCACTTGATTTACACGTCTGACTTTATACCACTATCCTACTCAAGGACAACATCCAACGCTTGATTAAGAATTTGTAGTTTTCTTGTTGAAATCCTGGACTTTTAAAAACACCTTAATGTTTAAGTGTCATAATTAACAAATGGTAAACACCACAGCGTACACTATTGAGTTATGGATGCACGCGGGAGGTTGCTAAGCACGAAAGAAGCGTAAGAGTCGCTCGAGGCGATAGCCGAGAGCGACTCTAGTTTCTTCAGTGCTTAGCAAACCTCCCAAGTGCATCCATAACTCAATAGTGTACGCTGTGGTGTTTACCATTTGTTTTATAACATAACATTAACACATTGTAGCTAAAGAGTTCCCTTTTGTTTGACAAATCTTACGTGACCAGAAAAAAACAAGCGCGCGCGGAAAAATAGTCTTTGCATTTGCTCACGTCAGCAGCGTACACCCATGGGCAAATGGGGGACGCTAAATTGACCAATCAGAGCGCGCGCTTTACTTTGGTTATGTCATAAATAATAACACTCAAAGGTCAAGGTTATGTCTAGCGAGCGAAGTAGTTCAGCACACTTGTTACATTGGTAGCACGTCACCGCGTCTCTCTCTCTCCACTGAAAACTACAGTAATTCCCGATTTTTACAATGTCGTGTTTGCTTTAAGATGCTGAAGAAGATGATGGAGATGTGATAATTGAAGAAGAGTATGAAGAATATATTGAAGAAGGAGTTATAGACAATGAACCGCAAGAACAGTTGGGAGATGAAGAGGTGATTTAGACGTTAATGTTTCCTCTGAAATATGCGCGCGGTTATTTTGCAAATTGCGTGGCGTTAAAAAAATGTCTGTGTTGTATGTTAAATCGTCAATTAAGGGATTTTTTAATGCATTATTGTCTCAATTTCTTGTATTTTTCTTTTAGTTTTCGAAATACTGCATAACACGCGCAAAAGAGGAAAATAACAGAAACGAAACCATTTCTTTTCATCGGGTGACTTATAAAGATTCATTTTAATTGCTAAATGTTTTATGGTGCAACCCTTCTTTTACGTAGGTTGTTGAAGAGAATGGTACAGCTTATGATGAATCTGAGCAGATCGGTGAGTTTTAATTTTCATTTAAGGGTTTTTTTTCCCCAAAGCACGAATCTCTGGCTTTATGCATGATTGATGTGCTCTCTGGCTGAGTGACTGGCTAGCTGAGTGGCTGGCTAGCTGAGTGGCTGGCTAGCTGAGTGGCTGAATGACTGACATACAGACTTACTGACCAACCAAATAGTGCATTGGGAAGATGGTGACGAGAAATTGACAAAGACGCATCAAAACCAGTCGCTAGACATGGTAATCTGCGGTCTTTCCTTACATTGAGGTAGCTCGGAAAGCCGCAAAACTCTTGAACAAAAGTTTATCTTTCAAATCGGCACTCTTAACTCCATAAGTATCAACGAACGCTTTTCTTTCTACTGATTTATTCGTGTTTTACTCGTCACCATTTTCCAACCCATAGTGTAGCTCCACTTTCTGCATAAAACCTACACACAACCCACGATTCCTCCATTCGCTCTGACGAAGGGCTAACGCTCGAAACGTCAGCTTTTTAACGCTTTACGGTGGCCACTTTACAATTTCAACTTAGTTGATATTACCAAACAATGCATTGACTCACTTTCATATTGACTTACTGACTGACTGGCATCCACATGTAGCGATTTTCAGTTATCTTTTGCGTTCATTTGGTTCTTTTCTGAGTAAACGTTGGTCTATGACTTGTACTGCGCATAATGTTTGTGAAAACTATTTGTTGAAGTCTTTATTCTAACAGATATGCTCCATGTTGTCATGTATCTGTTCAGCTATAGATCGCAGATGACGTCGAAATGTGATAAGAACAAAAAAGTGGCACACGAGACGCAGCGGAGTGTTACTGACCTTATCACATTTTGATGTCTTTTGTGTTATGTTTCTACACAGGCCCATAGTAACATGGAATCTTTTTGTTTTATATGATAGGAAAAAAAAGCGAAATGTTGTTTATGGTGACATCTGTTTATGCGTCTCTCAAGATTTGATTGTTGATTTTCCCCTCTAGCTGCTTTACATTTCCTCGTACATAGGTCACGAGAATTTGGTGTTAGATGACGACTACCAACTTCTGCTTTGATTATTCTCATTACCTGTTTGCTGCATAATGTATGGATATCATTAGGAGAAGTTACATGTAAATCATTTCTGGGAGTTTAAGGGTTATTAAGCGAGAACCAATCAAAAGGCTTGTATGAGCTCAGCTGATCACATTGAACGTAATAACATTCATTATAGATGAAAAACAACACAAAGCTTCTAGAAAACAGGATGGAAAGAGAACAAAGCAATCTTCATCAAAGAAAGGAGTTGGTGTGTCTGAATCACAGAATGCCGCAGCATCGCAAGGTGCTCCTGCCGCTAAACCTAAACGATATTCATCACAGAGGCAGCGAGCGACACAGCAAGTCCCACTGCAGGTACACCAGGCTATGGTTCCACAGATGAGTGCAATTTACCCAGACCAAGCTGCTTACTATGAACAAATGGGTAAGTCTGTGACCTTGAAGAGGAATGCTATTGAACAGTATTTCCGTGTGGTAGTTGTTTATTGCAGTACATCAAATCAAGTTTTGCCCTACCCGCGCGGTACTGGGTTAGTTTGCATATTATGTTCTAGACCATGTGTTCGCAAGTTTGTTGATTGCGTTCCGTTTTGTCACGTTTCTGTCAGGCCCTACGAATCTCGTATTTCGTTTCCTTTTGTTTCGTTTAGTTTCCTTTATTCGGATCTTACTGTTTCCCTTTTTTAGTCAAAACAGATCATACGAGTGAGTTTATTTACAGTACTATTTATTATGTTGTACAAGGTGGTTCTAACTTTCTCCGCAGATAAAACCCCATTTTTTTACCCTTTGTATGAAAGCTACTGAGTAGTACTTCCATGTAGTACTGCTTTTTCTGTGCTGCGCAGGATGGTTGTGAAGGATAGCACTTACTATGTATGGTCTTAAAAGTGATTGATTTGTCATTTTCAGCCTTTCAGAGTCTTTATGGACCCACAGGGACCCCGCCGACACAACCTGTTCCCTTACCTGTTATTCCACAGCAACCTGAAGTCATTCTACGGCAAGAAATGGCAGTAGCCCCAGGTGCCGAAAAGCTTATATTTATTTAATTTTTTTTACGTTTTGCCTCGACTGCCTTGAGAAATAAAAAGGCTCACTCGGTCAATTTAATTTACCATTCTATGAAATTCTTTCAGCAGAACAGCCTGAAATGCCTGCCGGGATACCAATGGCTGGGCCCGCGGGTCCTCAACCAATGGGACCTCTCCAGCATGAAAGCATCATGCACCAACAACTTGCAGCCCTTCAACAAGGGGCTGTGCCTGGTCAGCAAGGAATGGGCTCGGAAGGGGTATCGCCACAGAGACTTCCCCAGCCCGGAATGAGCCCCCAGCAACAACAACAGGCGTTGGCTACACATTTACAGATGCAGGCTTCGCAAGGTGAGGGCTTGTTTTCATTTATGAGTGTCACAAACAAACAAACAAACAAACAAACAAACAAACCCTTCCCCGAACAACGAATAGCGAGAGATGTTTTTTTATCTTGTCATGAGCTTGGGACAGATGGCATAAATCTGACTCCCATCAGGAATGGAACCTCGGAGCTCTGGATCCCGCACTCCGATGTACTATTACACCTGTGGTGAACTGCAGAGGACACTGTAGTAAACTAGGCTGAACCAAGCAATTTACTGGACTGTGGTCGGACATGAACCCATTAATGGTAGAGTATCAGAGGGAGGAATACTAAGGTCTAAGTGCTGGGTGATCTGTATTTTAGGTATGCAAGGTCCGATAGGTGCAGTCCCCCAACCAAACATGGTAGCGTCAGGAATGAGTCCACAATCAACAGCAGGATTTGTACAGCATCCAAATTACACTGGTGTTCAGTCTTTCCCAGGCCAGACCGTGATGTATCCCAATTCGCAGTAAGTTCTTTTGGTATTGGTGTATGGAATCAGTCATGTTGAAAGGCTTGAGCCATTAAGAGTAAAAAAAAAAAAAAAATGAGCTTTTCTACTGTCCTATGAACTTGCATGCAATCTTTTGCGTTTGAACAGTGACCTGCTTGTTCACTCCCAGTATTAATCACACAACCTCCCCTTAAGATATGAGAACATTATATTTCACAGACTCCATTCGAAGTATATGAAATTAAGAATACTAGGATTTTCAGTAGTAGTGCTTCGACCACTTTTTAAACGCTTAATTTGTCAGAGTATACCATGGAAGAAAAGAATGCCGAGAGGGACTTGGATCTACCCATGGTGCACCCTAACCTTGCATTTCTTCAGGCAAGCGCTTAGGGTCTAATAAGTTGTTAACTCCTATCGAAGCCATGTAATATTGATCCAAAACTGTGAATCCTTCCGGTGTGATTTTGTTTTGATTGTTTTGGCAGGTATCCGATGATGGGAATAAATCCATTTCTGGGACAACAGGTGAGTTGGTAAATCGTAAGCTGATTTTTCGATAGGATTAACCTCTAGAGACGGGGTTAACTAGTCGATTGAAGGCTTGTCCGGGCTGGAATTCTGCCTGGAATTCTGCAAGTTTGCAGTTGTCTTGCGTAAGATATTTTGCTCTCAGAACGCATCTCTTCAATCAGGAGTATTAAGTGGGTATCGGAAAAATTTTGGGGAAATCTGTTTAACTGGCTCAAGCAGACGATGAAAAGTTCGATTTTTTAGCTGTTTGCCGTCAAACCCGTCGTCGACCTCTCTTCTGCAGGGGAAAGGGATGGGGGAGGGGGAGGGGAGGGTAGGGGTGGGACTATGGAGTAGCAATGCATCAAGCAGTCGATTAACCTTTTCACCTTATTAACGATGTAGGTGTACGGGCTCCCGATGCCTGGAGGAGGAACATTTTATCCTCCACAAGCTGCCATGGTACAGCAACAACAACAACAACAACAACAACACTCTCAGCAACAACAGCAACAACAGCCATCGCAGGGTGAACCACAACAACAGCAGACAAGACGCCGCCCAAATGCTGCCATACCCATCAAACCTCCGCAGGTAGGTAGCTTAGACTTGAGTTGAAGGCGAGATGAACGAAAGTTAAACGCGAGATGAACGAGAGCTGAACGCGGGATGAGTGTTGAATACGAGATGAACGAGAGTTGAACGCGAGATGAATGAGTGGTAAACGCGAGGTGAAGGTGGACGTGGGTTTTAAACAAGCTATACCTCTTTATCTAGTTGGTCTTCAAACGGGTCTTTTTTTAGAAGTGGTCTGGTACGACTTATCTGCTCTCTTAATTTCTCTTTTGTGTCCCTTAGGAGAGATCCTGAATTGTCTTCAACAACGCCCTTACTGCGCGATGAAATGAAAGAACAGCTCCAAGCCATGCGTGGATGGAGAGGGGAAAATGAAGTTATATGTCCAGATGCTTTACGAAAAAAACGGCAAATCTTGCCCGCGAACAGTCCTCTGCTGATGAGACCATGTACCCCCCGGTTGGTGTTGAAAGAGATCTGGACGAAATAGCGAGTCTTACATGACTTAATATCTTTTGACACCGCAAGACTGCTCCAAACAGTTCTTAAAAGTGTTTTTCAAGGCTTACATAATATGAAATGGTTTTTAAATGATCAGGTGACATATTAACCCGTCTCCCTCTGATGAAAATAGGGACTTTAAGCAGTCAGGACGGCAACGCCACGCAAGAGGTCGATTAAAAAATAAGTTTCTACTCTTAGCTAGAATTTGGAAGATGGCTGCATGTGTTTGCCGTCTCATAGGGCGCCAGACCTCAAACTCAACATAGCGCATAAAAGTTGCGTTGAGTTCCAAATGTAAATTAAAATAATTTGCCGTCGCGGTTTCGGTTCGCAGACGACGCAAATTTGGGTGATTTCACGTTGTTGTTTTGCAAAGGACGGCTAAGAAATGTACAAAGTTTTAAAACGCACGTGTTGGGTTATTGTTCTGTCAATTAGATCTATTGTTTTTCCACGTTCTCGTTGCCGTAGGCGTCGTGGTTTGCTTAAAGTCCCTAATAGTAAGGCCGCGGTAATTTTTCTTAACACCTGTCCCGGTTTGTACTTGATAACAATTTTAGCTCCAATTTTGAGAAAAGGTATTTGTAATTTTAATACGTGTGCTCTGTGACCCTGTATCGTCGTTGTCCAGTCAGGTATATTTTCTAATTCCATAGCAATTCTATGGCTAGTACCTTAACAAATCCAAAGGCGGCAGAACATGAGAGCGGGGAGGGGCTGGGGAGGGGTAAGGGCTGTAACGAAATTTTGCGGCCCAGACTCGCCCCACGATTAGGTAAGGAAATTATTGAACGCGCCCTCATGGAAAAATGTTCTTTCTTGCGATCTTCTTTAGTTAATTTATAAAAAGCACTTCTTTACTAAAAAGAAAAGTGGCTTTATCTTTCCTCATAAATCGATAGAGCACATACTGGACTTTCTTGTGGTTGCAAACGAACTACCTGAAGGATCTTCCGGGTAAGTTGAGTGGGGATATGCGCATGGTTTGACACTCCACCCCATCCCCGTTCCAATACGCTCTGTCGCCTCTGAAAGATGGAGGCTCAAAAGGCACACGACGAACACGACATTTGTGCATGTTCGTTGTAAATTGTCGTACATATCCTCCTCGGCCTCAACACTGAATTATCAACGTTAAGATGTAAACGCCTTCGTATTTTGTAGGTTCCGTGCCTTGTGTTTTTCATGTTAATACAACGCACTAAGAGTTACATTTCACCTTAAGCGAATGTTTCACTTTCGGCATCAGCCTTGGGAGATACTAAAGAAGTATTTACAATATCACATTTACTCAGGCAACTTTCCTTCGCGAAGTAGCTGGAAAAAATGTGACACAGTTTTCTTAAGCAACTTTTCTTGGCCTAAAGCTTACTTATCAGGTTTTTAAGTCTAAGACTTGTTCGCGAAAAACTCTTCAAACACGATATTTATAGAACCAGATGACTTACTTGTACACTTTATGAACATCAAAACTCTACCCAGCAGGTTTACCTTTGTTTAAAGATTTTGTTTGCTAATGTTTACAGCGAACAATCTTTGCTGTTGGAAACCTGCTGGAGCTAAAGAGACTAATATTAATTCAACTCATCGTTTGATTCCAAAGTGAAGTCTGATTTTATTTTTTCCCCAAGACTAATGTGAAATCCCTCAAGGTTCCTGTAACAAATAGCAAATCTGTTTTGAAAGGTGAATATTTTGCGCTTTACTATTTGCTTTTGGTGTTACGTTTAGCTATTGTTTGTAATAAAATTTATACGAACACAAACTTGTAGAAGTGAATTTCCGCGTCTAACAATTTCTGACCCTAGAATAATTTGGGTGAGTTCGTGTTGGTTTTGAGTTTATGGCAGCCTTGGCAGCAAACAGCTTTCATGCCAAGATGGTTTTCACCCCTTTTCCTCAGTGTTTCTTCCGTTTGGCTCTTATTCACTGAAAATTTGAACACAGTTGAAATAAAACGATGAAAGGTTCCCTCCTGTAGTAAATACGAATAATTGTAGCACAGAGCATCTTGCCAGCGTGTTCTGGATAGTTGGGTTACTTGCAAACATCTTTGTTAAGACGAAGGCTTCTTCTGACAGGTGCGGTCTGCTTCTAGAAGAAAATAAAAATGGGCAGGTTTCCATCAGCAGTCAAGGAACTAGTTTGTGTACAGCCTCCCTCGGCTGGACAGGAAACTTAACCCAAAAATGTTCATTCATGCTTACCTTTCCAGAAGATTTCTTCTCTTTGCTCTTTTTTCTAACAACCATTTTCTTTTTCGGATCTAGACATGAAGAACAAAAAAGCAAAATACCGAGGAAATAGAGTGTCTGACTAAAAAAACTGAATCCCAGTTTGTCCTTTGGGTTGTCATTTCCGGAAGCCCCTCCTACAGACAGGATTTATAGGTATGGGGCATTCTGAAAGAGGGGGTTTGGATTGGGATGAAGAATAGAAATTAGATAGGTTCAGTGAAGTACAGAAGGAGGGTAATGGTATGGCAGGGCACTTGAGGCTTTCAAGCAGCTAGGTGAGAAGTCACAGAGAAATGCAAGTGGCAAGCATCAGTTTCACAGAAGCCCCCACTCCGTCACAAGAGGATGCCCTTCTCTGAGTGCCCAAATAGATTGTCTTTATACAAGAAAACAAATTTTGAGCAATAATTGCAACAGAAAATGAAATGCTTTGAGTTAATTTTCATTTCCCCCTCTTCTTTCAAAAAGGTGTCCACTTTTTTCTTCAGGGTTACAGTGTCCTTTAGAAACGATACCTGTTGAGAGCTCTTACCTTTTTTCACTATGGCTTTTGGTGATTTCTTTGTTTTCTTTTTCTTTGGTGGAGCATGATCCTGGAAAATTTTAATCAACCAAAATGTAAGTTGTGGTTTTTGGCTCTTAAATTCAAAGCAAATTCTAGTAAATTCAGTTGGAGTGATCTATGAAATGAAAATTCCTTAGCAGTATTTTATGTGATATTGTTTAATATGCTGCACAAAGTGGTTCTAACTTTGTCGGTGGATAAAACCCTAGTGTACTTACTTTTCTTGCCACTTTAATTTCCACATCTCCATTGATTTCTTTTTTAACCTTCTCTGTCTTCCTCTTTCTAGAAAGAGCGTGCATCCCTCTTGATTTGGCATCTTTAAACAAAAATACACAGAAACATCCAGTTGTGGGCAGACAGTGGTACAGTTTAATGGGTTACTATACTTTCTTGGGTATGTGGCTCTGCTTGCACACCTCACACACTGGAGCTCTGTTATTGGCAGATTTTTGCTCCTGACCAGTGTTCCAATAACTGAAATATCATTATATTGAAACCAATCTAAATTGTTTTCAATATATAACAGCAATACTGCTCACAAAGTAAGTGGAGCCTGATACCAAAGGAAATACCATAACCTATGGGCTGTTAAGATTCTGTTATTGTTAAATGGCTGTTGGTCCACTCTTGCTCAAAAATGTATTTCACCAGAGTGACAAGCTACACCCCCACCACTGCTGGAGAGTTAATGAGTTTTTCATACTTTTTTGTTCACCAAGTTAAACTCAAAATCATAGTCTTTTACTTCCTAACTATTTAACTCAGCAGTTTTAAATCAAAATGACTTGCCTTTAGGGACCAAAGGTCCAGCTTCACCCTGTCAAATCGAATTAAAACACGCCAATGTATCATTCAGAAGACACACAAAATTTAGTATTTACACAAACGTAGTTAAACCATCACACTATATACAGAAATAATTTGGATATATCAACAAAGTTGAAAAGGTAAATTGGCCACCGTAACGATTACAAAAGCTGACGTTTCGAGCGTTAGCCCTTCGTCTTCGCTCCGACGAAGGGCTAACGCTCGAAAAGTCAGCTTTTGCAATCGTTACGGTGGCCAATTTACCATTTCAACTTTGTTGATATATCCAAATTATTCCGTTACTCCCACCGACGCAGCCCCAAACAGTTTCTTTTGAAACTATCAGCCTTCACACTATATACTGAACTTGTTTTTCAGTCAATGGTCAGAAAACCATGCATTAGGTGGTTATGACCTCCTTTAACAGTTTAGGGATACAAGCTAAGGAAAATCATTATCTATCGCCAATTTATTTATTTATTTTTGAGTTTCAACTACAATGGAATCTGCACCAGTTCATGATTTCTGAATGAGTGTACCCCTCAATGAAGTGCCCTCTTTCCAATGGACCCTCTTTCTCTTCAGCTCCTGGGCACTCACTCTAAGAAATTCTTGAAAATGATTCAAGCTGTATACCTTAAACCAAATGGTTCTTCCATCGTGGTCCACAATGTTCCTCATCTCTGGAATGTAATAGCATTGACGCCACTCATTGAATGCAGAATAATCTGAATAGTTTCCTGAGGGTTCATATGCTGCAGAGAGATTTCAATTTTAACTCAAGTTATAACATAACCAAAGTAAAGCATGCACTTTGATTGGCGAGTTCAGCATCCACCAATTGCCCATGGGTGTATGCTGCTGACGTGAGCAAATGCAGAGACTAGTTTTCTGCGTGCGCTTGTTTTTGCAGGTCATGTAAGATTTGATAAATAAAAGAAAACTCTTTTGCTACAAATTATGTATCAATGTTATGTTACAAAACAAATGGTAAATGCCACAGTGTACACTATTGAGTTATGGATGCCCTTGGAAGGTTTGCTAGGCACTCAGGAAGCTAGAGTTGCTCTTGGCTATCGCCTCGTGAGATTCTTACCCTTCTTTTGTACTTAGCAACCTCCTGCGTGCATCCATAACTCAATAGTGTACAGTGTGGTGTTTACCATTCGTTATCAAAAGCTTAGTTTGTCAATTATGGTAATTGACTGGGTGGAGGGCAATCATGTGGATGATTTCAAAATCAGCAGAGTGCATGGTGTGAGCTGGATGTTAAATCACAAGTATGATTATACTTGTGTTTACTTATACACCCTAACATCAGTATGCATATTCTCCGTACTGTTCTCCAAATATTTTCCTAAGGAGCTGCTGAGTACAATTTGTTTAACAATCAAGAGTTTCTTTAATTGGTAATCATTTCATTTATTCTTAGGACCCTGATGTTTGATTCCGAGGTGATATTGTGAGGAGGAATTACCATAAAAGCTTGCGGATAAGCCACACCCCCAGATAAGCTGCGCCCCAAATTTAGCAGCTCAAATTTTGGAAACAAAGTTTTTTGATAGAAATCAAAAAGAAATCCAAGGTCGAGTCTTGAGAAGTCTTATACATCCACTGTTCATCGAACATAAACTCATCATTAACACTGCAACAGATAATAACCCAATTTCTAGCGACGATTTTTGGAAAAAAGTGAGGCTTCTCCATAGGCGTTTATGGCAGATGCTGGTCAGTCTTGAGGTTGAAAGGGTCAAAGAAGCCTTCATAACTGATTGGTTGCTTTGTCTTAGTAAATCCATTCTCATGCATTTCAGGGAGCCAGTCAGAGCCAGGGATTTAAAAATAAGGGCAGTGAAGCACAAAAATTACATAGTAAATAGTAGTAGTATTCTTTAATAGTAAAAACTATACCCATTAGATAGAAATAACCAAATTAATTGTTGACTCACGCAGATTAATAACCTCTTTGGGTACTAAATTACAAAGTTCTAGAAAGTCTGGATGATCAACTTGACATTTTTTTCCTTTAGAGACCTAAAAGGGCAAAAATACAAAACTTACAGAAGATACTACTACATCAATAACATAACAGCTTAAATACCTAATATCAGGACAACCAACCTTTAGTATGAACTTATGGCTCAGAAAATATCTTAACAAGTCTGAGATCCTTGTCAGTATCAAGGGTGTTTGGAGACAGATTAGTTCTTCTTCATGAAGTGATTGAGATAGATTAGGTTGACTCTTTCACACCCATGACCACAATATTGATTCACCTTGAAACATTCCATAGATTTCTTTCTAGGGTATTTCAAAGGACTTGCTACTGAATAAAACAATATCTCCTTGTTGATATTTTACTTGGTACTTATTACCTGCCTGCAGAGCAGGCATAATTTTAGCGAGTGAGTGCTTAAAATTTTTGTAGCAAAAATTATGGTTGTCATCTTTAATTTTAAGGCCTGTGGAAGGCTGGGGAGAGAAAGAAATTTGTACTCAGGGGGTGAGCAACAGTAAAAAAATAAGGAGGGGGTGAGGGTAGGGGAGTGAATATTAGTGTTATATTCTTTTTGTCCCTTTCTACCCCTACTGGTGACTCTAACTTTAAATAAACAGGGCTAGTTGAATAAACAATCACACACTTTTTAATGTTAACTTGCCCTTATAGGACACCAGCAAAGCAGGCTAACTCATTACCTGCCTGCTTGTCTTTACATTTTGTACACCTTCCCTGAATTAGCACACTAATCTCACATTTCCTGAATGATGTACTGCACAGGCATTCAAATTACCTTGGATATGCCTTCCTCCTGCTTTATTAGAAGCTTTTCCAGCACTGATCTTGCAGAGCTAAATGGAGGAACAGCAGCCCTGAAGGTAGAACATCAAATGTTCAGGTGGAGCATAATACACAAAACACAAAACATGGTAGCCTGACAAGAATTTTCACTGGCCCTGGGTTATCAGACAGCATATTGGTAACAACCAGTTCGATGCAATACTCCCTTTCCCCTCCCCCCAGGGGGCAGTGTGGCCAAATGGTCAGCGTGTTGGACTCACAATCTGCCACTCCTGGGTTCAAGTCCCACTCTGACCACTACCTGGATTTCTTTCACGGTAGCTCCAAGTCCAAATCTCTGGCCATGCTTGTAAATAGCCAACTAGTTTGCCTTCCGCCAGTTGGGATTCTTAATAATGTTATGTTCAATTTGAATTATTTGTTTCAGTTGTTTGTATGGACCACAATGAGATCTACTGGTTCTACAAGTAATTGTGTAATCCAATAAAGTCATTATTATTATTATTATTATTGCACAATCACATAAAATAAAGTGCAACTTCAAAAAGCTGAGAAGGAGTGAAAGAAAGAGTATTTGTGGTGAATTGAGAAGCTTTACCTGAGTATTGCAATTTCAATAGTAATGCTTCAATAATTTTGTAATTTTAGATAAAGGGAGACACCATGACAGGAAACACACTGTAGTCACCTTCATTAAGGTTCTACATTTCACATTCAAATCTTGGGTCCCACAGGCTAACAATTTTTAAAAAGGACATGGCATCTCTTAGGCATAATAGGCTCTCACCGGAAAATGATCTCAGCTCTAAGATAGTTCCCAATTCCGTTAAAATACTTCTGATTGTGCATGACTTCACAAAGAGGTTTGTTGAACACTGTGTCTTCTAGATTATCAAGAATGTTTGATCTGAATTCTTGGTATTCAAACATTGGATCAGGCCCTCGATTGTCAGACCATTTCTCTGTTACTTCCCACCGACCAAATCTAAACAAGAAGAAAAAAGTTAGTATCTATACAGAGTTTATAATATACAAATGGAAAGAAATCAGCTAACTTCACCCCAAGGCTTAAATTTCTCAGATTAATTGAAGTAATAAAAATATTTTTTGTAGCAATCTGCAGCGTATATTTGGCAGATGCACATGCAAGTCCTCATTTTACAGCTCTTGTTACTTTAGCTAGAATTATAGCATTCAACACAGAAAAAAATTAGATGCAACATTGCAACCATACATATGTTTGAGTTCTGGGCTCCCAATTGCATTGTACAGGGCCGGATGCTTGCAACTTAACATAGTTCAACATGCAATGGAACTTGTCAAGTCGCATAAAACTCTGCAGACAGCCCGGTTTTTTGGGGTCCCCCGAAGAGGCCCAGACTTTTATTTTCCATGGCATCCCAGAAAAGAAAAACCAAATTAAACGTAACTGGATTAAACCAACATACCTTCTAACATCTACAAAACTCAGCACCATAACTGGTTTCTCCTTAGTAAAGAAGTTCAAGTGAGCATGTTTATGCATGTCTTTTACTGCACCAAACGTAAACTTTCCAGACATTCCAAATCGGAAAAGAATCCTCAATCTCTGCTTTTCGAAATTGTTTCCTCTTTTTGTCTGATTTCCGTCACCATCGGAGCTCAATGAAGTTAAAATCAGCGCTGTTTCTTTACCTCTGGATTCTGAGGTTATGCAATAGTCACACATGGTGGGAAATGAAACATCTGGGTTTTTGGTGCTAACGGCTGATTTCACAATCTTGCCACTGAAAATGAGTCCTTTACAAACCTTGTTCACGAATTGGCTGTTTTTGTAAAGTTCTGGTCCTTCTGGCATGATGAAATCCTCTAATACCTTCTAAACTGGAACGACATTCACCGCTAAATGTAATGATCGTATCAGAAGTGCAAAATCCCCCAGGCCTTTCAGCCCAGTAATCAGAGCATTTTGGAATACTCTCCACGTGACTATAAAGAGACTTTGTTGTTATAAGTCGCCATACCCTCCAACTTTCCGTTGAAACTAGACAGAAGAGGGACAAAAAATTCATAAAAACCGCCCTTTCCCGCAGAGTCTACCTCGCTTTGAGGACAGATATGACCAGCTCTACAAAAAATTTCCAGCAACAAGTTAGCCAGTCTTCAACGCAAGTCTTCTTTAGAGTGTCACGCGACGTGCTGCGTGACAGTCAAAGGAGAGGCTGCCAACTCGTGTAATGAAAACGTTCTCGCAAACAAAAGATTCGAAGGGCTCAACGGCCTCATTTTTTATAATTTTATATTTTATATCTCCTTGTATGAAGAACAGGTACGATATACGGAACTTGGGTAAAGCATTGCCGAAAATAGCCTTCCTTTGGCTAAGTTGTTCTCCTGAACTCCTTTAAAGGCATGGAAAGATCGTGCACATGCAGTTCACGTGCGTTTGATCTCCTTCCCTCATCTCCCACCTTGGAGGGATGGTTTCTGGTTATTTGATTGGCTGGAGGAGTCAGGTAAACCATTAAAAGATATCAGAAGCTGCAAGGTTACTTCACATGCAACGAAGCTTGTTTTTGACCATTTGAATAAACCAACTCATTCGAAGCGTCAAGATATTTTAAAAGTTGTACTTGAGACCTCATTTTCGTCCTTAGAGTCTTAGTTTCTAGTAAATTCCATAAAGAACTTGTTGAGTATCCACATTTCTTGCTTGTGGTTAATGCATTAATCAACGGAAAAGTTAGAAGCATCTGCGAAAAACTTTAAAAGAAAACGCAGAATCGTCCCTCTGTGATTGGTGAAGAAATCTGAGTCTTCCCTTTTTTTAACATTCTTTGTGATTTGCTGAGGAGTTCGGAGCTGTTTAGCTAGAAACCAAATGCTGAAACACTTAGGACAACTGAACCTATAGCTAGTGACATCAGAAAATTGCATGCGAGGCCTGTCTTTATTAAATAGAGTGAGCAATTCGGATAAAACAATCGTGATGTCAAGAAAAGAAAATGAACAAGACCATGTAGAAGAGAAACCACATCACTTTGCCTTTATGATCATACGGAATTGGTAAACCATCGAAATCGTGCGATGGAGTGTAGACAAAATAATTATGTTCTTAAGTAGAGTTACTACAACAAGATAGGGAATTTCAGAATACTTCCTGGAAGGGAATAAATTTCATCAAGACCCACGTGTACATCAAGATATTATTATCGCCTACTCAGAGTTAATAGAGTCATCCTCTAGTAACTCTGCGCCTGGTATGGAATTTCAAGGGGTGACCATACGGAATTGGTAAACCATCGAAATCGTGCGATGGAGTGTAGACAAAATAACTATGTTCTTAAGTAGAGTTACTACAACAAGATAGGGAATTTCAGAATACTACCTGGAAGGGAATAAATTTCATCAAGACCCACGTGTACATCAAGATATTATTATCGCCTACTCAGAGTTAATAGAGTCATCCTCTAGTAACTCTGCGCCTGCTATGGAATTTCAAGACTCTGAGAATAGACCAATCGCTGATTAACCCAGCGTGCCGATAACATGTTGAACAAAGAAAATGCTCGTGTTGCCTGGGTGATAACAACAGGAAGCGATGGATTCTTCTAGGACAGCCAAACAATACGGCCACCCGAAATAGCACCACGCGGGTGAAAGTCGTAGAAGATTTGTTAGGTGCGATCTCTTTGTATTTAAGTGAAAGAATGTACAAGTGTGCAAACAAGAAATTTGATTTCTTTCCCTCCCAAAGAAGAGTTTTCACTTTGTTCCGTCGTGTGGCCATCGCCCGACAGCTTTCATCGGCGCTTAAATACCAAAGCAAATCGATTCTATCTTTTTGGAGAGAAATACAGACGCGAAAGTTCACAAATCAATGCCGGAAACTAAAGCTGTTGGAGAACAAAGCTATTTTGTTTAAAAAAAAAAAAAAAAAATGACCTGCTCGGCTTAAAAGTGTAAACTTTGTATCAGAAACCACGTAACCTTTTTCTGTCTAAACTTGTTCTCGGCGAGCTAACTAAAATGAAGCACATTTGTTTTATTCCGTCCAAAAGGTGTGCTGTAGATACACCTATTGTGGGTCTGTGCAGTAACTTGAAAAATCACTTAAGAAAAGTGTCATCCACATTTCATTACGAGATTAATTGTGATTTATTGCTTCCATTTACTATTAACTCCAAAATCACGGGTCTAATTCAATATAACACCCGGTCCTCTTTGAGAAGCAGAATAATTAAAGAGACGGCGCCTAAACTAAACATATCATTTACACATACAATTCGTTTATGGTATTTTTTTCTCGCTAAATTTCAGGTTTCGCCACCCTATTTTAAAAATCGACTACTGTACTTTCACAATTTAAACGATTTCACGTGACAAAATGCAAAAAAACAAAACAAAAACAAAAACAAAGCAAAAACATTGGAGTACTCTTCACCTGATATAACCTGTTTAAGCCACTGCGAATCAGCATAGAGCTGCTCAGCTCTGATGTTAATTGCCATGTTAGTTGAGTAACTTATTGTCAATAAATCAAATTTTTAAAAAAATACGCATACGCATATTCGCTCAACTTTCGATGATCGATTAATTTTACTGCAGTGATCTAGGATTTACATTATGTGATGAGTGTTTTTTATTTTCTTTTGAGGGCGGTTAAGTTCATCTTTCCTCATCTTTGTAGCTTATGTGTCTTTTATTGTATCGACGGCATGCACTGCCGTCAAGGTGAGCTGGTGTGCAAGAAATTAAATAAAAACCGACACATATATACAAGTACCTGTTTTATTGAGGCACTTGTAACAGAGCAAACATTGTTAGAAATTTCCGGGCTCGTGCTCGCCGAGCATTCCTATTCATCGAAGAAAGAGATAATGCATTTTTGGCAACAGAAGGAACAACAGGTTTTTCACACCGAAAAACACGTAGAACACCTGGTCCTCTGAGAAGTGAAGTGTGCTTCGGTACGGTAGAATATTAAACTAGCCCCTCGCATGTTTCGTAATTGCTTTTGAATTTCGCTGGCGGCTATACAGTTTGTGAAAGAAGAAACCGCAGATGATACCCCACTCAGCAAGATGACATTGGAAAGCATTGGAAGAAGACAATTCTAGACCTTTTCGATCACAGATGGTTTTTACAATGTTTCGTGACTAGAATATAAAATGAAGTCATCGATGACGAAATCATGGCAAAGATCGTTACCTATTCTTTCAAACGCAAACACTACAAAACGATTTATTATCATCGGAAAAAAGTGAAAATAATTGATTGGTAGTGAGAAGAAGAGTCATATAGTAATGATTTGGCTTCCATCGCTGCGAAACGTTTTTTCGATCGGAAAGATTCTTTCATCGTGACATTATTAATGTATGCTAATGATTGCTTATAACTGCAACCATATGGCATTCTGACGAGCTTGTTTACAACGGACTGTGTCCATGTCAAAATTTTCCCGCCTTTAGGTCTCGCTTTCCCAGCTGCTTCAGTTAGCCACGCTACAATAAATCTGACAACATTTCAGATGAATATCTGACAATTTTTAAGCCAACCTTTAACACTTTGCTCAATTCCAGACCGAATTCAAATTTTGTTTTATCTTTAAGGGTTGTTCCCTGCAGCTAATAAGGTCTTAACGCGCCGTTTATCGTGAAAGTACAAAAAAATGCAATCACGCCTGTTAACGTTATTTTTACTCTACAGAATTCGTTCTCTCTGTATCACGAATTTTCTAGCTAAATAAGTAGAGACCTCGGTCTATAAAAAATAAAGTTATCATTTATTTGATTTATTTCCTGCAGTTAACAATTAACACTACAAATATACATCATCTGCTGAAGTAAAGAAGAAATCCCGATTTCTTGTAAATCATTAAAATCGTGTCTGTATTCCTAACTTAGCGAGAGATTTGATCTTTTTAGTGCTGCTTCTAGTATTGGTTTCAGTCTGATATTTTCCTGCATTGGAAGCGCTCAAGGGCCACACAATGTGCGCTACGTTTTACAAAACATATACACAGTATATAAAATATTATTTAAACAAAATTTCTCGTCCATAAAACTGGATACAGTTCAAGTCTTTGTTTACGGGATCTTTGTTCGCTTGTGGTGCGCTGACATTGAGAGCGTGTTCGGATTTCTTTCTCTCTCGTTGCAGTCATGGTAATTTGACACAGTATTTGGCCTTCGCGAGTTGTCTTCGAGAATTTGAAACTTGTTTACCTTCTACTGGTGTTATTTGAAATTTCAATCTTCAAGTTTTAAACGTAGAAAATTTTCTCGAAGACACGGTTAAGTGACCTTCGCCTGTAACATCTTGAAAGACTTCTCTGGAATGGGTCCAGACGTAATTTATGTTCATGGGTCCACAAAGGCAGATATTGTACCCGTGAAAACTGAGAAATGTTTGTCGCGAGTTGCTTAAGTCTCCTTCGTCTTGAATCTCTCACTGAAAGCTGTTGCTGCTTTCAAAGTGCAAAATCTCCTCCAAATCATGGATGTACTCCATTGCCAGTTTGAGAACTTCAAGTTCTGAGAGATCTTGGCCATTCTCGTTCTGTGGTAGGAGTTCGCGTAGCGCTCTGAACGCCCGCTCTACGTGCTCCAAACTTTCAAATCCTTCGTGGTCCATATCATTAGCCTTTGTGTTCATCTCTTTGATGTAGTTCATACCGTCTTGCACCTTGATAGCCATGTCTTTTCGGTGTTTCCCTCGCACAAAAAAAAGTAAAATTACTCTCACCTACAAAGTACTTCGCGCCAGCCGAACTTCAACAAGTTTTGAACACAGCGCTGTAAACGCTTAGATTAAATATCGCGAAATGTTGATTGTTTCCTGTCACTGAAGATATTACGGCTATTGTTCTCTTTGCATCCTTCCAAATCATCTGCCACTCCTCCGCTTTTATTTATAAACATGAGTTCACCGGTGACATCACAGAAAAGAACTATGTGGAGTTTGCCATTACCGTGCAAAACTTGTTTCATCGCGCAAATGTCTATGCACGCTACACAATTTTTCTTGAGAAACTGTTCACTTACTTCTCTTTAAGTATCGTTGTAGAAAGTCAAAAATTGACGAAACGTTTGCGCTTCCAATTTCTGAACAAACAAAATGAACAATCCTGTTCCAGGCGCCATATTCACTAGCTATCTTACTCTTCACAATAATAGCTTTAATCAAGCGTTACTCAAACATCCTTTATCAACACAGGTGTGCGGCAGAACTTGCTTCCACTATTGTTCGCCGCACCATCAACAACAACAGAGGCGCCGTAAGCGCATTGTTTACTGCTGTAAGACCGAATATGCACAGTGTATAAGGATCGTGGGAATATTAACACGTAACTGGGTAGCTGTTTTTTTACCATATCATTCGTGGGATTCATGAAAAAGCTCCTTCGCTACAAAGCTATTTTGAAGTAAACTGGGTGACGTAAAAACGTAGATAAGCGCGCAAATCGGCTATCACGAAAATAACATGAGGCGTTTCATTTTTACCTCCGGACGCCGCGGAAACGTTTCACATCCGAGGTTTAAACATCTGGCGATATGCTAGAGTTATGCGGACTGTTCGAATGCGTGCGCCCTCTAATTGACAGAATAAGAAGTGTTTAGAGTTACACGGAACAAAACAAGAAACACGACTGTGTATAGTAATGCAGTCCAAGCAGCTTGGAACAGAGAAAATAACACCAGCCTGATTTTTTAGCCATTCTCGTTGGTGACGGGTATAGTTTGGGTAAGGTAGGTATTGCCAGCAGGGGAACTCGGAACACGTGGGCCATAGGCTCAGTTCATGGAGACCGTAAACACTAAAGCGTGGGAAAATAAGCCCTGGTGAAACTCATTTTGTTTGTTTGAACCGAACCTTAAAACAAACTAAAATCTCGAGGGATTTCGGCTCATCAGTCTTTACATTTTTTGTCCCTTTGACTGAAAACTCAATGAACTGTTAAATGGCCCTTGGGAGCTGTTGTCAAAGCCTCTTGTGAAGTTCGTCGGGTAAGTTGTATTGGTTTGCGTTGGATTAATATTGAGTGTCGACGCAACTGGATTTTTCCGTTACTTTACGAATTAGTCGAATGCCTGGCGTGTGGCAAAAATAATGGAACGAGATGCCGCGACAGGTTGTTTTCTCAAAAATACCACCTGTTTTAAAAAATGGTGACTGTTTCGATAAAAAAAAAAAAGCATTAAAAATCTTTTAAGGAAAAAAAAAAACAAAACAAAACAAAACAGCATACATTTTTTCAAAAGAAAATCAGAAGAGACCGCACACATGCAGACAGAAAGCCGTCGCGATGGTCTCTTTTTCTCTGACGATGCTCGAAAAGTCCAAGTTTGGAAAATAAAAATTGCCTTGTTCGAAAATCTAGATCCGACTAAAACGATTCTTTCTTTGGCAGATTTCTTTGTTAACATTTACTTTCTACGCGAAAAAAGGAGTAAACATTTGAACAACACTAATGATATCGCAATTCCACTGCTCCTCGGCAAAGCAGCGTTAACCGGTTGCTAGGTATTTTGGATGGAAAGCGACTCAGGAATGTTAGTGAAATTAAGGATTTTTCCGTTTTCACGCCTCTGAACGTGCTCAATTTAAAAATGAAACTCACTTTTGAGTCATTTCCTTGAGCCCTCAACATGTGCAGGAAGGAAAACTATTTCAAAAACGCACCAACACTCGTGGGCTTTCGAAAACCAGCTTTCATTTTATTGTGTTATAGAACTGAATGCCCACCTCCTAGATCTAATGGCTCTGATTGTTTGCAAACTTTGATAACGGGAGTCGTAAGTGAGGAGTTTGTTAGGTTTATTAATATTCTAATCGCGTATAAAGAATCCCTCACGGTGACGTCAGACAACTACTTCCGCCATTTTGTTGCTCTCGCAATAACATGAAAGAGAAGGGTCTGGGTACAACGATTACATTATCTCTTCTCACCTCGCACGTGACTCGCACTTGCCTCCTCCGCCTCTAAAACATTAAAAAAAAAAAAAAAAAAAAAATTACGCCTGTTCTGCAGGCTACTTTGATCGTTGGGAAAATGTAAAAAAATGGTGTTACACATATCTCTGTGAATTTAAATTGCAAATATACATGTAGTGATCTCCTAAAAAAAAAAATAAACGAATGCGAATAAAAATCGTGTGGTTGAGTTTTCCCAATTCTCTTCTGATACTTATCAATCCCTTAGCGTGGTAAATCATTCACTGTCTCTGATTGAAATATTCCCTTTCTTGCTGCAGACTCCATTTTCTTTTCAAAACGAGAGAGATTTGTACCGACTTGACCAAATTTTACAGCTATGGGCTGAGTAACCGGTTCCTAATCTCGTTCCCAGACCCTTCCGTGTAACTGTAACTTACAACCGCTTGGCCATGGAAGGTCTGAGTTCCGACCGGTTCCTTCATACGTAAATTACGCGGGCTCTTCTAAAACAACGCCCGTTATGTCCGTTTGCTTCACTACAGATGTGAGAAACCCAGAAATCTCTACTGTGGCTGTTCTTCATTTATCCGTTCAATTCATTAACTGTCACAGGGATTCCAGCGATTTCCACGATTGCTTCATTGGCTTGTAACTGGCTGAAACCATTCTCACCAGCATCCGCCCCAGTCCCTTGATCATCCAAAGCGGCAACTTGCGTCCAAGGTGTACTAAGCCCGAAGTTCGGTGTGTTTCTGTTGCAGCCGTACAGCAACTGGTCTTTTTCCTTAGGATCAAGACGAGGGACACGGGAACGGGGAGTCCGCTCGGTGGTAACAACCTGGGGAAGATTCAATCGCTTCAATTGTTCTTCTCGTTGTAACCGGCGCTGGGCACGGCATTTGCTGTCAATCCTTGGTTTCAGAAACTGCCATCGCAGCTCTTCTTTCTCGGCGCTAATGGGAAACTTGTAATTTACGTGGGCTAGAGAGAAATAAATAAATACATGTGTACATGGGTTAAAAAAGATCAACACAAAAAAAACAAATGACAATCTTAATCAAAGAAGGAAAAAATGGTGAAGCATCGTTCTTAGCTGACAATCAACTTGATTTACGTAAATGCAAAGTTAATTCAACTTAAAGAGAGTGCAAACTATTTGTTCGGTGTGATGGAGGAACGTAAAACAGCTATAAAAAAACCAAGACAAAAAAAGGATGGCTAGGAGCGGGGAAGAATGAAAGAATGCAAATAACGAGCTTCGGCGAATTTTGCGAGGAACACAAAGCAAGATCTCAACTCTCTCCCCCCCCCCCCAAAGAGTTTAAAACTGACCTTGAATGCCCTTTATTTTGATTGGATCTAACAGTTCTCTGCCACGTGCTCCGTTGATATTTGACGCAGCCATCTCGTCCCGAACAAAAAACGCCTCCAGCAAATTGAGAGACAGTTTGGCGGGATTTGATCCGGAAGCCTCGGCGCGCCCGAGAATCTTGGGATTGCCACAGTACCACACACGAGACTGTGGGTTGCTCTTGTCTCCAAGCCAACAGCCGCGAGAATACGATATGTTTTCCAGACCTGTGGACAATAAGTCAGGAAAGTCTGAACACGAGAATACTGACCTGTAGGATTAGGTGACAAAAGAGTGTTATCACTTCCCCTGAAAGGAGTACCTTTCCATCGCAGGTACCCTACCCCTTCAAGTCTGAACACGACAATAATGACCCATCTTTTTGAAGGATTAAGTGACAAAGAGTGTTGTCACTCCTCCTGAAAGGAGTACTTTTCCAAAGCAGATAACACCCCCCCTCTGGTCTCCCTGACAGCTCACTGATATCCATTTATCCTCCTGGGAGAGGGGTCCTCAGGGAGAGAGGCACTGTGGGAGTAAAGTATCTTGAACAACAACACAACAAAAAGATGGCCAGGCCAGGCCAGGCCAGGCCAGGCCAGGCCCCTTCTCCAGGGCTGTTCTTCTAAGAAGCAGTGCAGAGCATTTATATTTAGATACGCTGAGTAAAAAGGATTGAAAAAGGGTAATTTTTTTTATACCTTCCATAGCACAAGGAGAACCATTGATGATATCTTTTAGAGGCACTTCTGTTGTGACACATTTTTTGTCTCTATGAGAAGGTGGATTATCTCCAAGTGACAATATAACTGGCACCAGCCCTTCCTCATCACCTAATGGATGGTCTCCTTCTGTTCCCCCAGAGACTGGTCCAGGTTGGGTCTCCATGACGACAGGCCTTGCTGCTAATTCAGCCCCTTGCCTTAGGGTTGATGTCCGCCCTTCCTGTGAGACTGGTCTTGCCATGGTATCAAAGCCTTGATGGAAACCTTGATTCCATGCAACAAATGAGTGAGCAGTGACCGGGCTGCTTGCGTGATAGGAGCTCACACCAGGGGAAAAGCACATGCTGGGGGACTTGGTGCTGTCTGCAGGACTTGACATGCTGGTGTCCCTGGGGTTGCCTACTGCAGTAGTAAGTGAGCTACTATTGTCTGTGAGCACAGACATCCCACTGTCTCCCTCAGTTATTGTTTGTGGCTCTCGTAATTTCATCTGGAAAACAATATTTCAACATATGCGTTCATTTGCTGAATGAGTACAAGAGAAGTATGGTGAAGTTTTAAAACCCTTTGGCTCCTTAGAGAGACTAGAATCTAATTTCTCCTTACAACATTAGATCAACTCTGATCACAAAATAAGGTCATAAGAATAAATGAAATGTTCAACAACTCTCTTGATTGTTAAACAAATTCTCCTTGTCAGCACCTTGGAAACTTATAGAGAACAGTATGGAGAAACTGCAAACTGATGTTAGGTTCAAAGCCTTAGTTGCTAAGTATGAGAACGATCTTGGCATTAACAAACACTACTTTAGCGGAAATGTAGTGGAAATAAGGCCTGAAAAAAATTCAGGCCTGTACAGGATTTGAACCCATGACTTCTGAAATATCAATGCAGTGCTCTACCAACTGAGCTAACGAGCCAACTGGGAGCTGGTCATTAGGTTGGTTCATAATAAACCTGTGAAGTGATGAGTCAATGCTTGTGAATATATGAAAGTCATATATTTGAACTGCAGTTAAAGAACGAGTATGAGAGCGATCTTCGCAGTAACACTACTCAGATATATGACTTTCATATATATTCACAAAGGGTTAGTCACTATTTAATCCTATTTTTTTCTGAAAGATGAACAAATACAGAAGTATAAATGGTACCAGTTTACTGTCTAAACAAAATGGAACAAAGAAAAAAAAAGGGAGTCTACGATGGAAATCAGGTCCCAGATCTGCATTTCCTGTTCCCATGCTCTACCACTGAGTCACAGGGAACCCTACAGTAAGTTAAGTCATTACAAGGTTTTTATGTGACACCTGTCATACATACTGCTAGGATTAGCAATGTTCAAAGCATTGAGTAATTGATTACCGACAGAATAGGAAAAATGGTAATTCTCTCTGATTACTTTTACTCCCACAGAGGGCAAAGCTGGAAAAGCTCAGAGAACTTCAAAAGGCTATTTATCAATAAAACCTGTACAATTTTCCACACACAATCAACCAATCAAATGTGTTCAATGGCTCACCTCCATCCTTCTTAACAAGTCTTGAACATGACCCTTCTTTGTTGGTGTTTTGCTGGTTGATTCACCACACAGAACACTTTCAATCTTACAGTCTAAGGTCTCCAGGAACTTTTCAATATTTTCTAGCTTTTTACTGTTGGCTTGGACCATTTCACTTACAAAACACTAGCAAAACAATGGAAATAGACAATATAACAAACAACTACACAGAGCAAAAACAAATCATACTGGAGATCAGGATATAAGCTAAACACAAGTTTATTACTCGTGCTGCTAAAACCTTTAATTTCCAGCAGTGGTTAACATGTAACTTCTCCCTACAATATCCATATGTTATCCAGTAAACAGGAAATAAGAATACTCAAACTTATCAGTTAGAAGTTGCCATTTGCTACCGTGATCTAAAACAAAATTCTCTCAACTAATCTACAAGGAAATGTGTAGCAGCCCGAGAGGAGAATTAACTATTACATCTTGGAAGTTGAAGGTAAAACTCCCTTAGGTATGATTGAAAACCAACTGTCTATGAAATATCCATCACAAAACATTTCCCCTTTTTTATGGTTTCTGCATTTAACAGTAACACACATCAAAATTCATCCATAACTAAGTCATCTCTTACCAGGGATTTTGTGTAGTTGTCTGACACAAATGAAGAATCTGTCTGGGTATACACATCTAATTTCAGACAAGAGCCACTTGCCCATACATGTGGCCTGTCAAATTTTGCACTTTTCTCCTAGAAAAAAAAAAAAAAAAACAAAGAAAGTGGTAGCATTATTCATTTAATTTATAATGTGACAAAATTCTTGATTACCAGTATGATTAGTTCTTGATGTCTTCTCCTTATAATTTTAATTTCAACTTTCTGAATCAAGACACTAGCAGCATTCAAACATTCATAGTGTGCTGCTCAACCCTCTCACCTCCAGTTCTGATCAAAAAGTAGCTTCTCCTAACAGTACCAATACATTGTCAAGAAAACATAGTAAGAAATGTGGAACAGACAGCAGGGAGAATTGTTATTGTGATCTTCACGGGTGTTATAGGGTCAATCACCGATATCTCCTGACCCTTCAGCACAACTGAATTTCTACAAACAAATTTAAATCTCACTTTTGACTCTCCTCTGCTGGGTCTCAATTTATTTCACAACCAAAGTAATTTGGTTATATCAACTAAGTTGAAATAATTTGTAAATTGGCCACCGTAACTTATTCGTTATGGTGGCCAATTTACAGTTTCAACTTTAGTTGATATAACCAAATGACCTTGTTACCCCCACCAACGCAGCACCACAGTTTCTTTAATTAGAAACTTTCAGCCCCTATTTCACAACCACTTTGCAAATGTAAGCTTCATAGCTCCCTATGTAAGAAGCTGTGAATTATCCACTGACAAATTCAATGCTGCAACACCCCTTTCCTAGGGAACTCCCTAGGCATTTGAATTTTTTAACATTGGTTTGTTTTAATTTCCACCCTTGGGCCAAAATTGCTTACAAATGCCCCACTCAAGCACAATTCTATACTGAACAGTTCCTTGTGTGATCAAGAAATGCTGTAGTCATGTATCAGTTCTTAGTGCTACTGCTGGATTTTTTGCTTCCAAGCATCTTCTATGTCATTGGCTCAAGATGGTGGTCTCTTTACCTTTGAACTTCTCCAGGTCTAAAATTGAAACAACTTTATTCTACCAGTTCAAATTCTCCACCCAGGCAAGGTTCATACAGCAATAGTTAAATGCCAGTGGGGAGATTTTGAAGTTTCAAATTGATTGATGCATTACTAGAAAGTAGATATGTAAACACGGAAGATGCAAGGGAAATCTACCGCCAGCCTACAGTATGAATCTTTAAACCAATTGATTTTTCTCTAAGCTACATTCCCTTGTCCTAATCTTCCCCAAAATCCAAAACTTTCTAAAGAACCTGAAAATCATTTAAAAATCTTTTATTGTTTTTCACACCAGTATCACATCCTGTTTCAAAAAAGTTATATACAGTAACATAATGAGAAACTGTTAAGTTACATTTCCTTTTTCTACTTTTTTAATTGAAACTTAGGTATAATTTTCAACTCTTGTTCAAGAGTAAGATCAAGGTTTCAAATAATTACCACACAGTAATTGCACATATGATACTGAGAAAGTCTCTGAACATGTACATGTATCTACATTGGAATTTTCTACATCAATACTATAAAATGAGTACAATGAAACATCATTAACAATAACATTAAGAGATTTAAAAAACATATACCAAGAAGTTTTCAGTGCAAGTAAAAAAGTGCATAGTTAAGGAATCACTGATCAAAGGGACTTCTGATCTTGATCTTAAACAGTTTGAAAGAAAAAAGTCAATTAAAATAACAAGTTTAGGAGGTACCACACATAAAAAGCTAATAATGAAAAAATCATAACATTATTTAACTTATTTTGTTTTTGTCAAGGAATGAAAGCTTTCCTGGAAAGATAGTTTTAAAGTTAACAGCAAAAATTTAGAATAACTATCCTAGAAATATTTCATATATTAGACTTCCAACTTTAACTCACTATTTTACAAGTTTACAGCTGAAAAACCCTATGATTTTCTTTTTTTTATCATTGTAAGGAGACAAAAAGTGATCCGCATGTATAAAGTAGAATTTAGGAAATTTTTTTTTAAATGCATCTAGGACTGGATGTGTATGTTAGAACTGTTACTGGGACATCTGCTTCAGGCCATCATGTTCAAGGCTTGTTTCTTCTGAAATTTTAAGAGTTGTAGAAGATTTAATTAGCTAATTGGTGCCTACAAATACTGCAAATGCTCTAGTTTAACTGAGTTTGATAGTTTATGATCAAAAGTGAACTTTAATGGAGATAGCTTTTATAACTCCCACTCTAAAAATAAAGCTGATAGAGGCTGACTGAAGAAAGCTTTTTCTGTAGTTTCAGATGATCTTTTGATTCACAAGTTACTTTAGGAATGATGTACGATATACATTTCAGAACTGTCATAAAAAAAGCCTTGATCAGGCTTTTTAGGGATTAAATCTTTATCAGTGAAGAAATACCGTATCAGAAAGCTTATAATCTAGAAACAGAAGAAGAGCCTTTCTTAATGGACAGACAATCAACCCTCTTGTGAGCAGACACTGTAGGGAATTGGAAAAAGCGTCTGTTCTTACAACTATCTGCCTACAGGGATTATTTCCATAAGGGGACATAAAGAAAAATAGGGTGGATGTTTGCTTACGGGAGTGTGTAAATACAGAGTTTGATTGGGAGGCAAAAACAGAAATTGAATAAAACTGTCTGTAAGTAGAAACGTCTGCCAAAGAGAGTTTCCAGAAGTAGAGAGTTGACTGTAATATTTTTGCCTTACCACTGACACATCACTTTGTTGTTCTTCAGTTGCTCTTCTTTTACGAACAGAATTTGAATTGGTTATGTTGTTGTTATAAAGGTCAGCCTCCATTGGCTCTATAGTACTTGAGTTTTTTTCCCTGTGAAAAAGAAATAATCTGTTCACAACACTGAAACATTATTTGAAATATTTCGCACAGCAGTAACCCTTACATTTATCTGATCATTAACTCAGTTGAGAGGTAGCACCGTGTGAAGGATTTTTGGCTAGCGATTGCTATTGGACTATGTTGGCACCTTTATATTCGAGGCTGATCAATCACCCTAACCCTCCCCTCCCCCCGGCTACCCCCACTCTACTGTCCAAAGGCATCGCACTTGTCGCTGACTGCTCAAAGTTACAATAACCAGTTTTGAAAATAGCTTTCGAGAAAAGTAATTTTTCCATTGTTTACATCACAAGATTTGAATAGTTGCGTTCAATGATGAAATACGTCAAATTAAAACTTCATCCAGAAACCTTGCGAGACTCTGAGTAGGCCCAACGTACGGCCTTCAAGGTTTGCGCGCAAGCAACGCTTAAACGATCACGGATCGTAAGGCGATTTGAGGTGCACCTGAATTAATTCTCTTTAATTTCGACACGCCAGAAAAGCCTCGCCGCTCTCTTGCCTCGTTCATGCAAAAAGACATCCGCGAAGTTGCGTTCTTTATGTTAAAAAATAGTAAAGCGAACGTGTATCTCCGTGTTGTCGAGCCCGTTACGTGTATCCCAGTACGTGCCGAACCGAGAAACGCGATAATGTGCGCTATTTTACTTTGTCTCGTATTTTTTTAGACTAAGGAGATGAGCACTTACTTGGCAGTTTGCATTGTCGACAATAGTTTCTGTTGAAGGTTGGAAAAGTGCGCGTTTAACGCCGTATAACGCCACGCTTCCATTAACTAGACACGCTGTACTCCAACGCCATCACACTCAATCGAGGGCGAGCGCGTGATCTCTGATCTGATCACGCGCGTGGTGCGTGATAATGCAGGAAATTTATAATGAAGGGTATGGATGCCCTCGATGGGGCTTTTCCAAATGTAAGCTTAAAAAAAGGAAATTATCCCAAAATTATCAATGCAGGCCTGATAAAAGATTTTCAATGCTATTAAAACGTGATTATGGGGTAAATTACTTTATCATGGATAAGATGAAGGCTATTTTAGGGAGGGAAAACTAATCCTGAACTACCTACCGGTCCCTAGAGAATAAATTCTCAAAATGAAATTCCCGCTCTTCCTATGTTTTTATTGAGCATGTACTGCAACGAAGTTGCGCTGACCTAGCAAAGAGCTCAAAACAGCAAGGACGAAGTAGAATAAGCGTATGCTATGTTTTAGTTTTCCCGTGGAAAACGGGAGATCCGTGGATAAAAATGCTCCAGAGTGACTCTGTGAAGCTTTAAGTATTACTTGGGTGAATTTTTTTTGAAAAAAATTCTGGAAAATGTGGCACGAAGCGAGAAGGCAAGAGAAGAAATTGCGCGGAATGATGGTAGATTACCGTAAAAGGGCTGAGCGTAGAAGAGCTTTCTACGAAAGAATGGTTAGATAATTTTTTTTATGTTTACAATTTTGTTTTAGATTAAGATTCTTTGGCAATGAACAAAAGGCTTCGGACCACCAGACAGGGTGTAATTGATTCCGTAAACCTTTTTTATGTTAATTCCGACCCCCCCCCCCCACTACCCCCCCTTAGAAGTATCCAGAAGGGATTGGCATGTAACTTCTCCCAGTGCATTACCAGCCGGCATAGCTGAAAAACACAATGCTAGGTTGCAAGCATACGGTCAGTAACATTGGCCTAAGCACTCAAGGGTTAAAATTGAGTGAAATTTGCCAAAAAAAAAAAAAACTGGCAGTTGGCAAAACCGAGGCTTTTTGTAGTTGTTGAAGGCATTTCCTGTGTTTTTAAGGTGAAGATTAATTTTTGAAAATATTTAGGAGGTGTACAAAGCTTTTAGAGGTTGATCTGTAAAAGTTAATGGGCGAGGGAAACATTGAGGCATGAAGCATGAGTAGTCCAGTGGTCAGTACGCTGGACTCTGGGTCAGTTGGCCCGGGTTCAAGTCCTGGCTGGGGCACGACGTTGTGTCCTTAAGCAAGATGCTTCACTCACATTGTTTCGTCTTCTTGGATAAGATGTAAAGCTGTAGGTCCCGTCTCCTGTAGGGTTAGGGGTATGAGACGTAAATTTCACATGCACGAGATTACTGTGTTGTGGATGTCCTCCCCGGGGTGGGATGGGTGGGAAGGTGAGATCACTACATGGACTGAAGCAGCTGCCTGATAAAAATGCTGATGTCCGATCTCAACCTTATGATACTGTTAAGCGCGACTGAATATATCCATATAGAAGTCTGCGCTATATAAATGTAAAATGTAATGTAAATGTAACATTGCTTCAAAGCAACAGAATGGAAATTCAAACATGTAAATGACTCAAAATCTGTTTTCTGTGCCAAAGCCTAGCATATGTACAGATGTTATTGAGCTCTGCCTTACCAGCCTATGGACAATGAGAACAGGAAAATTTATTTGCTCAAAGGAGCTCTCTTTGGTTAGCCACAATTTCTAGATAGATAGATATAGATAGATAGATCTCATTTACAAAACTCACCAAGCTCTAAAATTCATTGTTAATACATGATCTTACTAAAAAACTATTTTTGAAACGCTTGGTCCTACATTTGGGAATAGCAAAACGCCTTTTGCACTGGAGATTATAACACGACGGCCCTGACGATTGAAGCATTTTATGTAAGCGATGGGCCGGGTCATTTTTACATAAGCTAGCAATGTAGTCATTGATAGACATAATATTTGAAAGCTCTAAGGCCTCTCTATAGGCCAGGCCAGGGCAAATGATTGACAATGCCTGTTTCTCTACATTCTCTAGATCTTCCTTTAAATACAATGGTGGGGCGTAGAAAAACGCAGGCGATGCGTAGAAAAACGCAGGCGATGCGTAGGCCAGGACTGACCTTATACAGGATGTATAAAAAAGAATTAATTCCTGCCTTGCGACATTGGCCCTTTTCAATTCTATCAACTTACTTACAAAGATTAGGAGCAAAAAAAGGAGGGATTTCCAAAAAATTTGTAGAAGTGAAAGGGTTTGAGGTGTATTATAGGATTATAAATTCTGAGATCTTTGTCAGTGTTCTTTGGTGTTACTCTTATCTACAATTTGTCCTGCACTTTCATTGGGTTAAATTTCTTGTACATCTAAGTTCAACTGAGAAACGTCTGAGTTCCACAAAATAATTTGCATTTTGGAATTTGGAAGGATTTTATTTATTTATTTTATTTTTATTTAATCTTTATTTAAACACAATCAATTCATCAGCCTATAAAAATGCATATCACATACGCTAAGATATTTAAAATGAAAACTACATATTATCACACTAAAGCTGTTTTCTGTGAATGCCGTGCGTTAGACTTAAAGAATGTCATCGATCTTACATTTAAATAACCCCAGAGACTCTGTGTTCCTTATATCGCGTGGTAGACTGTTCCATAATGTGGCGCCATTGTAGCTAAAGCTTTTTCTGTAATAATTAGTGCGCGGTAGTGGAACATTAAGCTTATTTTCAGAGTGCCTGAGGTCATAAGCAGAGTCACGCCACATAAACTTTGAATATAGATACCTTGGAGCTAGCCCGTGCAGACATCTAAACATCATGGTGGCTTTATGGATTTCCTGCTGGCGTGCAAGATTTTTCCACCCTAAAAACTAAAGTAGCTCAGTTGCATCAGCATCATAATTAGAGAATGTCAACACACGGGCTGCTCTTTTCTGCAATTTCTGCAGTTTGTGTCATAGCTTTTTCCCACAGCTACCCCAAACAATGTCACAGTAATCAAAGTGAGGTTTTACTAAAGCTAGGTAGATGAGATGTAAGGTTGATGCTGGGATCAGGTGCCTAATTCGCTTTAGGGCCCCGATACCAGAGGCGATCTTTTTCGTTAGTTTTTTGATGTGACTATGCCAAGCGATTTTGTAACTGTAACCTGGCTCACTTGAGTATTGTTCATTCTAATTGTTGGTGAAGCTGTGAGAGTATTCAGTCTCTGCCTCGACCCTATTAGCATGAATTCGGTTTTAGTCATGTTCAACGTGAGTTTGTTTGCTTGTAGCCAGGTGAAGACGTTTTCTAGGTCTTCATTTAGACAAAACTGAACGTTCTCAAGATTGCTTCCGGCATATGTGAGGTGCGTGTCATTGGCATACATTCTCGGTTTACAATTTTATAAGCAATTTGGAAGATCGTTGATAGGATTGCCTATAAAAGCTCACAGGCAGCAATGGTTTGCCCTTAATTTACAGGCTTCATCAGCGTTTCCATTGCACAACCTAAGGTGGCGCAGAGAAGCCAGTTTACTACAGATCGTCTAAAAACTGTAAGCAAAATGCAGCTGGATGATTACCTAGCCATAAAATCAATTTTTCTTTCTCTCTTTCATTAATACAGAAACAAGATCCAACTCAGTTCCTGAGAGTATATGGACAGAAATATAAAATCCATATAGATCCACAGTTGTCTTCAGCAGGAGATGGGAAAACTGTAATGTGAGAATGAAAGCTGATTTAAAAGCATGTGAACACAGACTTTTTCAAGGCACAGAAGCCATAGGCAACAAACAGAAATACAACTGTGTTCGTGAATAGGCTATCATCAAAGAATTGTGAATAGATTACAGTAGACATTCACAATTTCTGAGAAAGTTAACATGGATGAATTTTGTTTGGGTCACATTTAAGCTTGAAATAGGCAAGGCCAGGCTCCTGAAAAAAAGGCATGTGCATGTATGCTGCATGTAATCATCAGGACTCAGTTGTTCAAAGAGCAGATAACATTATTCAACTGATAAATTGCTGTCCAGCATGCAGATAAATGTTAACAAAACATTCCTCATTATCTACTGGATAGCAATTGATCTAATGGATAGTGTATCCATCCTTTTGAGCAACTGAAGCCAGGTCATATTTACCACTTTAAGAATTTATTGTTACATTTGATTCAGAAAATTATTATTTTGGATTATATTTTTTATATCTCCAGGATGCCATGGCAAGGTGACTCAAATAATATGATTGACAGGTACAATATTAGTGTATGCATTGCTTAACCCACAGTTTTTTTAGTTTCCTTAATGTTCTTTTTACATTTTTTATGGTTTTTACAAGGAGAATGTGTTTGACAATCAGTGGCGCACTTCGTAAATTGGAAGTTGTTTCCTTTGCTCTCGTGACTGTTATATTTAATTTAATTAAGATGTGATTAATTCATTTGAAGTGAAAAGTGTTGTTGTTTCATTTTCAGGTTTGATGTTCGAGCCCACCTTGATATTATCCCAGAACAGTCATCATCGAGTTCTATTGGGTAAGTGTATAAATTGTTGACAGAAATGTTATATGTTTAAACCGAAAAAACTCTCTTCTTTTAAACATCTTTAACCAAAGCACTGTAAACAGTTAAATTTGCTATTTTCATTAGTCTACTTTTGATTACAGTAAACAGTTTGAACCCTGGTGTTACATATGATAGTGTAGTGACTAGTCTGATTGTTCATGTGATTGTAGTCCTGGGAAGGACTGTTTTTGGTATTGCTGACTACTTTTGATTGTTATGGATGAAAGTCAAGAGAACCAGCTCAAGAACTTTGAGGAAAAGCATATGGGTTACCTCCTGAGATAAATGAAAAAGAAGAAAAATAAAGACAGCTTTTTTATTTAAAGCTGAACTTCTTTCTCTGGCTTTGGGTTTGCTTTGTCAGTTGCATCGTGAGTTTTAAAGTTTTGAAATGAGACCTCATTAAGAATTGAAGTCAAGAAGGCAAGACCTACCTTATATTCAGCCCTTTTTTAAATTTGTGCGCTGCATCTAGTACATTAACTGTAGGCAGCTGGATCAATGGCAAATGTGACATTATTGATAATATTGTATGCAACTATTTTTCCTAGAGCCTTGATGGAAACTGATCCAGAGGAAAACAGATTGAATTATGAAAGATACAGGACATTGGTAATGATTGATTACAGTGGAGGTCAGTAAGTCAGTTATCACCCTATGACAGAGAATAATGACTCTGAGTGTGGCAATAGGAAGCTTGTGATGAATTTTTCCTAATTTTAATTTCTTTTTTTAGCCTCAGAGGAGTCTTATCTTCGGCAGTTAGAAATAGAAGAAATGTATGGAGCCAAGAAAGCTGATGAGAAAAAAGACAAAGAAAAGTAAGCAACACAACTTAAAATCTGAGGAGGTGTGGAGTTCTGCTCTCGCTGAACTATTCGGTCAACAGCCTTCTCAAAAAGATTTCAAGGAGTAGGTTAATGGATTGAAGGAGTAGGTTGAGGTGCCAACAGTACCCCTGTGGGTGCCCTGCAGGCATGAGCCTGTAGGGGGGTCTGGGAGCATGCTCCCTGGAAAATTTTGGAAATTTAGAGGCTCGGAGATGCAATTTGGTGCATTTTGGGTGTGTTGACTGGGGAAAAAGTCATGTAATTATTAAATAAGATTTAAGCGGATCACACCAGCTAAATGCACGAGTTCTGGCGGCTTTTCTTTAACTTTCTCTGTTTGCGTTGAATTTTTCTTGTTTTCTTTTTCATTTGTTGCCGTTGAAAATTATATTTTTTGACTGAAAAGAGACGGCCAAGATTTGAAAGGAGGTGGCTTGTTTAGCCACCGACCGGCCAGTTTTGAGAAGGCTGGGTCAAAGCTGTATTAAGTGGTTATCCACAGTGAATGGCAGTATGACTGCCAAATACTGGCTGACTGCTTAAAACAGGTTTCATTTAACGTAATAAAACTTGTTAAAAAACTCTACTAGTTTTGATTTTGGGAGATAATTTTACTCGAAAGAGAGAATTTTACTAGAAAGATTTTTCTTACTTTTATTTGAGAGGTTCAATTTTAAATGACAGTTCAGTACAGGTAGAGGACAATACAAACAGGCTGTTGTAACTGCTACTGCCTAAAATAGGTGACCATTCATTACATTATTATAAGCAGAAAAAATTTCAGAACTCTGAAAACCGACTGCGTAAACAGGGCGACATCTTAATACACTTCCCTTTAATACAGATTTGACTGTATTTATATTCGTTTTGAAAGCAATATGTGGAGATCATTCTACCTGGTGCTCCGAGAGCTGCCAAATTGTTGTTTAAACACATTTTTCGGAAATGAAGAAACATGACAGTTGATTGTTGCTCAACGTTTTGCTGTCAGTTTTCTAGAGAATAACTTCATTTCTTGATGGCATTATAGGAGTCAAGCTAAAGCCACGATTGGCTTCACATATGACAACACCAAAAGTGTTGGGGATTCTGACAAGGATGATGATGACGATGATAGTGGCAGCGATAGTGACAGTATCCTCAGTGATATAGGTAGGGAACATCACAAACACTTATGATAACACTGGTACCTTGGGTTCAACATTAACTTTTCAACTTACTAGCCAAGTGGCTGGTGACATCCAAGCTGTTACGACAATTTCAGTTTGTTCACTAGCCAAACTGGCAAGGGGAAATCGAAAACCACTAGCCAAAACTGAATGTCTACTAGTCTGTGGCTAGTTGGCTACCATTAGTGTCAAGCCCTGGTACCTATGGCCAGTTTCAAGAGCTGTGCAGGGTTGGATTTTAGCCCCCTTTTCTTTCAAGTTTTAGATGTCAATTCTCCTTCCTTAAATTTGCTCTGAGAATTTAATGTTAAATTGGATAATAATCCCCAGCTGATATTTCTCCTTCTTCTCCACGCCCACCTGCTTGAAAATGTCTGGATGTTATCAGGCTAAATTTCCATCTCGTCACCCCTGGAAGTGAATTGGTTATTCCAAATCAATTCCTTACCATCTGTTTTCCAGTGGAATTTAGAATGTCAAGAAAAACTTCAGAACTTGTGAATAGAATCATATCATTGAATAAAATCTCGCATTCTGATTGGTTAACGAAATGAGATATTCAGTGTGGAATTGTGAGTTGAAAACGAGGTTAAGTGATATTGTTTCGCATCTACGTAAGCATACAATTTTAAGTAGTGCTGTTTCCTTTTTTTATTCATTTTTACTCAGTTATGCGATTCAAGGAAAATCCATTACTTCACTCATGAATTCTGCATTAAATTGCACTTGAAAACTGATATCGCACTCATGGCTTGGCGATATGTGCGATATTGGTTTTCTGGTGTAATTTCATGCGGAATTCCCTTGTCAAGTAATGAATTTTCCTATAAAATACCTTACAGTAAAGGCAAGAACCAACAAAAAATCAACATTCATTGATAACAGATTTGTGAATTGACCAATGGCCACAGATGGTAGTAGATAAACAATTACATCCCCACCAATACCTCATACCTTTCCACAAGATCTCCCTAGTAATTCCTCTCACTTTTCTCACCTTCTGCCATACACTTCTTATGATGTTATTTTGGAGAGTTTGGTCTTGGATCGACTAACAATCTTCAAGTTGATATTTTTCTATATTCGTATCACTTTTCCACTTGTTATTGTATTGATATTGTTAGGAGAAATTCTTTCTTGGTCATTTATGGGAGTTGAAGGGTTAATTTTTTAATTTTGCAGATGTTACAGTGGATGTGGATGAAATTGATACAAACCAGGTGAATAAGTAAACTGATTTATAGCATCACCGCCAACAACAAATTGGTTCATTGGTTGGTTCATTTATTTCACACTATTTACATAAAATTAACATAGATAGAAAAGTAAAGTTGAAACAAATGATTACAGAATAAAATAAATAAAGTACAGATTATAAAAATGTGTGTGATGGCCAAAGTAGCAAAGGCTTTCTAGTTGGCCACCACAAAAATTATTTATGTAGTCAAGAGCTAGTCAGCTCATAGAAAAGCAAAGCTTATCTAGGACAGCTAATAAATGAGACATCAGCTCATTTGAATGGGCTTGTTTCTTTTAGATGATTTGTAAATTTTTAACTCTTAACACCTAGAAGTGATTAACACGAAACTTTTCTACATTATGTAGGAAACAGGTAGTGAGAATACTCAAACTTATCAGGTAGAAGTTGTTGTCTTGATTGAATACCAAATTCTCGTAACCAATTTACAAGGAAATGAGTAGCACCTAAAGGGGAAGAATTAAAAATCAGATCATGGGAGTGAAAGGGTTATTAAGGAGCTAACAATGGTTATTGAGATGTTTGTCTTTGGTCTATCTATAGAGAGAAACCCTAGACACTCGAGGCCTCCATTATGGTATGGCATCGGCACAATTCTGCAGGTCTGTTAACTTAATGAGTGGCTTGTGTACTACTTATCAAATGAATGGTGGTGGAATCTGCCAATCTAATTCAAATAATAACCCAGTAAATAAGTCTAAAGCATATTGATATAAGTAATAACATGATTTGGAATGCAATTTGTAGTCTTTGAGAAATTTAAAAAGTGCTTGTTTACAGCAAATCGCAGGAGTAAATTACCGGTATGTTGTTACTTACTACTCAATAATTTACACCAAAAAGCATCACAGAAAGTCATGACAGACAAAATTTTGACAGGGCATGCATCATTTGAAATTTGCACTCGTGTTACAACTTTGCACTCGTGATGCATGTTAAAAATTCACTCGTTTTCAGACGTGCGTAATTTTTTCGGCACGTATATTAAATTATTACCGATTCAAACACAAGTGAGTTAGTGGGTGGCTGGTCAAGTCGCCCGAAAGTCAACAAAGAAATATCACACTTACTATGCTTTGCAGGGCAATGTGGATTTTTAACCCCATGACTCTTAATGGGGACTAGCGTCTAATTTCTCGTTACGATATAACCCCGGAATCACACATTAAGGTCAGGAGAACAAAGGAAATGATCACCAACTAGAGAAGCTCTTGATTGTTAAACAAATTCTCCTTGTCAACACCTTAGGAAATGTATAGAGAACAGTATGGAGAATATGCATACTGATGTTTGGTTGTAAAGGGTTAAGTCTGAATAAAACCCTGATGTGTGACCATCTAAATGAAAGCTACTGAGCAGTACTTTTACTATGCAGTAACTTCTGAATCTGTGGATAACAACCGGAAATGTGATAACAACCGGAAGTGTGTTAACAACCGGAAGTGTGATAACAACCGGAAGTGTGACAACAACCAGTAGTGTGGCCCTTCAAATGGAAGCTTCACTGTTACGTTTGAACCATGTTGTGATACGACAATACAAGTCTGGATTTGTTCGCATTTTGAAAAATAATAATGTCGTGTTCTGCAGAAAACTGAAAGAAGATAAAGAGGAGTTGGAAGAACAACGCAGACTTCGACAACAAGAAGAGGAACGTTCACTTGTAACTGTAAGTTTCTTGCAATCTCGTTGTTTTAAACAGATTTGAATAAAACTTAACGTAAGCACCGCCTCTCAAGAGTCATACCCAATAAAGCTGTTACAAAGTATTGGTTCGCTGTTTCGTCTTTTGTGGTTTTTTGTTGTAGCTAGCGGTTGAAGCATGTGTCACTTTAGATTAGATTTTTATATCCAAAAGGACCGTTACTTACTGAGACATTTTGATGCTAAATCGTTAAAAGAGAAATATGCTAGGACAAACATACTTAAGAATAGCTACTTTCATAGGATTGTGGACGAATGGAACAGTTTGCCCCTTGAGGTCCGTTCGGCATGCAATGTTGACAAGTTTAAAGCTAGTGTTATTAAATTTGCAACAAAATTGTAAATATTTTTATAATTTTTTAGTGAGTTTATTGTAAAGTTTATGAGGTGATTTGTTTTTGTATGGGGTCACGCAACTCTTTTACAAATCAACCTTATGGCAATTTTTTTTTTTATGTTTTGTTTTTTTTTTTTTTTCTTTCTCTTTTCCTGTAAATATGCCATTAAATTGTAATAAATAAATAAATTAATTAAATTCCAGGGTCGGCGAGCCCGTCGTGAAAGACGTTCATTGCGAGAAAGGCAGAGAAGGAGAGCGCATGATGTAGAACTGTCACCACCAAGGTATTGTTGGTAGATGTACTTCTTTTACACTAATGCGCACATTTATTCGTTTAAGTACGTCTTCATCCAAGCCTTCGTCATTTGTGTGTTCCCGCGCTCATTCGTTTGTACCTTGATCTGCTCATGCGCTCGCTCGATATTTTCGTGTGTTTGCTCGCTCGTTTTTACGTAGATTTACTCGTATTCTCGCTCCTTTTCTGTGTGTTCGTTGTCCGCTCGTGTGCTCGCTCGTTCACTCGAGGATTCGTTTACTTTACTTGTTGGTGCGCTCGTGAGCTCGCTCTTTTTATTAGCTTTCGTTCGTTCGTTAGTGCGCTTGTGCGCTCGCTCGTTTTTTGTGCATTCGTTCCTCATTGGAGCGCTCTTGCACAGATTCGTTATTTGGTGTTTTTGTTCGGCTGCTTGTTTGCACGATGGCCGGAGGCCGCTCCAAGTTTAATCAAGGTGATACAAATAATTTAACCGTTCGTTTAAGGCACCATGTTTTTGTACGCTTCTTTGCAGTTACGCCAGAAAAGCAAGCCCTACTTATGAACCATATAGGAGGTTAGTAAAAGTGATGGACTATTCCTTTTCCCGTTTGTCAACAACCCTGAAAAACACAGAACGAAACAGAAAACTTGCAATAAACTTATACGGTCAAGTTATGAAGCTTGATAGTTCTGTTTCTTACATGATGTCGCTTGTAGTGAAAACAAAAACCTTACAAAGTAGTGGAACAAAGATGTCATTTTGTCTTGTCATAACGTGGGAAAATGAAAAATGTCCTGTTCTGCGTTAGGAATAAAACCTCCGAACATTCATTTGCACAGACTCTGCAGTGAGCCAGACCAACATTACGTTCATATTTGAGTTGTAGTAGTTGTTTTAAACCCGGAATTAGGAGCGTACAGCTGTTCAAATGCGTCCCAGTGAACTAAAGCAATTTTTAATTTAGTGTCGAAAGTAATATGGGATTGATTTGGTTTTGTTTAACTTCATTCTGTGATTGGTTAAAAAAAACTCGCGCCAATTTCTTAACCAATCAGATTTAAAAACTAAAACCAATCGCGACTTGGTAGTAACAGATGGTTTCTACGATGCAATCTTAAGTTTTACTGAAGTGAATTTCCTCTCTCTCTCTCTCTCTCTCTAAGGTCTTCCTCTCGTTCATCGTCCAGATCGCCATCACCAGAAAACGCTGGGAAAGTGGAGTTTATAACGGAATTCAGCCATTCATCGACCGATCAGCCTTCCACGAAAGCGAGCGGTGATTCACACTCGCGTTCATCTTCCTCCCGGTCGGTTTGCTTAACTTTGTTATCCGCTCGCTAGACCAATGCTTCCATCTTAGATGGACTGTAAGAAAATCGAACTGGTTCGTTCCTAGCTGGGTATACTGTTCGTCATCGCTGGGTATACTGTTTGTCATAGTTGGGTATACTGTTCTTCATCGCTGGGTGTACTGTTTGTCATTGTTGGGTATACTGTTTGTCATTGTTGGGTATACTGTTAGTCGTCGCCGGGTACACTGTCAGATC